TAATCGTTGAAAATGCAAGAGCAATATTATTTTATAAAATTAAATCTATATAGAAATTCTTAAATAATTATCGTAAAAATGCCAAAATTACATTGAACAATATTATCAGCAAATTATAAAACGATAGTACTAACGACAATAAAAAAATCAACTTCTTATAACACTAATAATGCAGTAGAATTTATAATATATTTCACAAAATATTATTCTATCCGAATGACTCCTGTTAAAAATAATATTTAATAAAATATTCGCTTCAATGCTTGCCATAATTTTCTATATTTTATATTTTTTTTTTTTTGTATGTAATTTCATACATAAACGATAAATTGATTGCTATTGATTGCTCAGGATAAATATTATAGTACTACTACTACTACTAATAATAATAATAATAATAATAATAATAATAATAATTATAATAATAATAATGATAATAATAATAATAATAATAACGACGACGACGACGACGACGACGACGACGACGACGACGACGACGACGACGACGACGACGACGACGACGACGACGACGACGACGACGACGACGACGACGACGACGACGACGACGACGACGACGACGACGACGACGACGACGACGACGACGACGACGACGACGACGACGACAACAACGACAACAACGACGACAACGACAACAACAGCAGCAACAACAGCAGCAACAACAGCAAACAACAACAGCAAACAACAGCGTAAAAAATAAATAATGAAATTAATAAGACAAAGAAAAACAAAGAACTCTAGACTTATGCGCACAAATGTTATTTGGCGATAGACGGACTTGACCGAGACCTCGGTCGAGTAGTTTTTCAATACACTTGGATTATTGGAGTTCAGGTATAAAGTAATGATTTACTATACTTGTACATCTCATTTATAAGAATACCAAAGCATAAATTTCCTTTAAATCAGAATTATTCCTCTTGGAATGAAGATATTTGAGAAATGTCATCTATTATAAGATATTGTTTAAAATCTGATGAGATATTTGATTCTTTGTAGCTACGTGTCCTTCTTAATTTATTCAAAATATTATGCAATTGAAATACATAATAATAAAAAATCAAGAATATTAGCAAGCCCTTAGTATTTCTTCAAATAATTAATTCTCTATGAGCGTAATATTTATTTTAACGTTTATTATGAATTTACATTATCTACTTTAATCGCGAAAAAAATATTTTAATGTATATTTTTCATTACTTAATGTATCATACTTTTAATGCATATTAAATTTTGGAAATTCAAAAATAAAAAGAATATACAATATTCACTACATTTTCCTTACTTATCTACTCAGTAAATAGGGTCACCCTTTTTTTAATACTTAAAATTAATAGTAATATTTACTTATTATATATTTCTTTTCATATAACATTTTATCAACAATGAACTTACATTACTATTTTGCTTAAACAGTTCTAAAGCAAACAAAATCAATTTAAAAATAAATCATAAAGTGATTAATTGATAAAGTAAAATTGGTTAAGGAAACTGAATTTAAATTTATATTTCAGCATATAGTATATGACATTACAAAAATGTTTCTTTATCGCTTTACTTTTAATAGCGAATTATTCATTCAAAATCTTAATCCGAATTAATAATAACTTATCACATAATAATAGTAATTTCATAACAATGATATATAATACAGACTATAATACATTGAATTAAAACCAAAACAAATAAATTAATGATTCGTACTTTCTTATTATATAATTTTTAAATTAAATTATTTTTAAATAAATGCTTATCTATGAAATTATTTAGTTTAATGAAAGTAGTATGTAACATTATTATAATTATATTATATAGCTATCGTAAAATTTAATTTAAAAAATAATCATTCGAATTAATAACTAATATGTTTATACGTAAATTTAGCTCTCGCAAAATTTGCGATTTATTTTATGAATTAAAAAACAAAGTGCAATTACAGATCTACGAATCCGTTAAGACGTATTCACATTTAATTAAGAGATTATGAAACTCGGTAATAATTGTCAAATGGCAATAGTATTCGACGCAAATGTACGTATCGGTCGTTCGAAACGAAACTAATGGAAATCGAATATAACAAACCAATAAGCAAACAATACTTTCAATTTCACTTTCAACTCCATCCTCATTCAATTCTGCTACTGAAGCTTCTCTACGATTGTCACAAAATGTTGAGAGTCGAAACGGTATCCACTCGATAAGTTCTATTACAAATTAGCCGTATGATTAAAATGTCAAGTGACCACGCAATTCTCAATTGGTCCAAAAGCAAGAAAAAAAAAACACTATATCAATTGTCAGTTCCAGTACGTGTCCGCACTTTCTTCCATCAAATTATCTCTCTATCTCCCTCCCTCTCGCTAACGTATTGAAATTCCTCATACGTTCTTCAAGACACCGTCGCTGATCCATAATATTTTGCATTAATTTTTAATAAACGTTAGGCGAGTAAGTACCAAAAATATAACGTAACGTAATGAATAAATTCATCCGTTAAAAACTATTATAGTCGGTTTCACTTTTTTACCGTCGCACTTTACATTACACTGATAGTACGAACTTGTGTATATTTATCACCATAATGCCTATTAACTTTTCAATAATATCTAAATAATAAATATTTATGCTGACGCATGTATTGATAAAAAGAAAAAAAAAATTCATTTTCGTGTATAAAAGTAACACTTTCGCTACACACACTAGACAAAATATCATCAAATACAGCTTACTTTGTGAAAAGTCGCAGATGCACTAATGAAGGAAATATAAATGGACTAAAAACAATAAACAATTCTATTTTCACTTACCTTCGCTTAATAGTATTGTTATTCATAGACTCTGAATTATGGAATACTCGAAGCTTTAATACTAACGTATTTACTAATTAAATATTTATGAAAAAAGAATATATGTATGTACGCGTGCATTCGTATTCGCTTGCAACAAATGATAAAGCAAAGAATTGAACTCGTGTTGTATAAAGTAATTTCGATGCTCTTTATATTGATTATTATTTTTATATGAAGCTCAATATTAATTTAATGATTCATTATCGTTATAACGAAATTTAGATTTACTCAAATTCTTGCAATTATAAGCTGAAATTTAAGCTTTATAAATCCTTAAATAATCGAAATATATTAAAAATAAGAGAGAACTTTTGTAAGAAATTTTTTTTTTTTTTTTTTTTTTTTTTTTTTTTTTTTTTTTTTTGATGAATTAATATAGAAATAAATATTTTATTATACAAACTTTGCTTTCAATAACACCTTAATACTAAACTATTTAATTATTAAAATAATTTATAATTTTCATTCTTCATAACAATAATATCAGGTACTTAAGATATTATTTGAAATTGAAACATTAGTTTATTATTTTATATTTTGAAATGAAATTATATTCCTAAAATTATATTCCTAAGCATTTAAAATGTATTTACGGTTATTTTGTTATTAGTTCTAGATATATTCCATAATGAAAACTAAATATATACAAAATCCAAGTATGCGTTGATCATGAAAATCATATTGATTATATTTTCATCGCCATTGCATCTTTTAGACATTTAATTTATTTTACTTTCTATCAAAAATCTCGAATTGATTAGTTATAAAGAATTGTTAGACATTTTTTTTTTACTTTTCTAGTTTAATTTTTTTCTTTTTCAAATACATAAACAAATTCACTTTTTTTTTCCTTTTTTTTTTTTTTTTTTTTTAATACATTCAATTAATATAAATGATATATAATAATTAATTAATAAAATATTCAAACATATAACAAAGTAAATCGCCATAGTAAAAACAAAAATATATAAAAATACTGATCTATATTTAATTTAATTTTTTTTAATGTGATTATTTGAATTAGTACAGTTAAAACATAATATTAAATTAATTAACGTAAAAGGACAGCGTATGAAATATAAAAGAAAACTAAATTATAAGAACAGCTATTTAAAGTTTTTATATATTTAGTTTTAATGTTATATGTATTTGGATGTAAAAATGATTATTATTAGAAAAAGCAAAAAGGTTTTTGCCAATGCGTTGAAAAATATATTAATTTGATAATATTGGAAATAAGTTCATTGATTTTGAATTAAATTTCATTAATAATAGTCGAGTTAATTTACACATTAACAATTGCAATTTTATTTGTATTACATTAATAAGAAAAAAACTTTTAAATTATACAGTATTCAAAGCTTATAAATTTCCTAAAATATAAATAAAAACTAATTAAAAAATACTTCATGTTCATAAAAAATAAATGTTTAAAAACTTGCTATAATTAAAACTATGTTCGAATTCAATTTAATTTGATGCTTAAGTTAAAAAAAAACTATAGGAAATTTATTAAAAAATTTCTTCCAAACAAAAAAAAAAATTGCTTTCATTGATACTCAAAAAAATTAAATGTTCAATCTAATAAACCTGTCTCTGTAAATCTGTTTACGAAAATTTTATTCCAAATAAGTGCCTCTATAATTTAAAGAAAGTTTTTTTCTAATTCATAAAAGTGTTTCTTCAAAACATTTTGTATGTAATAAAAAGTTATTTAATAAAAACGTATGTTTATTAGATTAACAAACGTAATTTTCTCAAATATAAATAATGATTTTTACATAACACAGGTACTAAATTTTTTATATGAAATATTAAAATTAAAATTAAAATTAAAATTAAAATTATAAATATTGCTGGGATAAATAAAACTAATTGCCCCTACTACAGTAACTTCCATCATCTTACATTAAAGAGAATATATTATCTCTTAAAAGCTATCTTCTATCGACTTGAGTATTTTTATTTATTCTCGACTGACCAAATTGTAATTTACGAAGAATATCTTAAATTACAATGTATTGTTAATGAGAGACAAAATATGGTATTCCGTCGTTCTGAAAATGAATTATTACTTTATTATGAAATAAAATTGTCTTACATAAAAATGAATTTATATTGACTTACTTATTTAATGTTCTAAGACTTTCCATTGCTTTTTATCCGCTCACTTTTACGTTAAAGCTCATTACATGAGCTTCCTATGAGTTTTCAAGTGCTTTATAAGCGAGGCTCGATAACTAAAATTATTTAATTTGTTTAAACAAATAAAAAAAAAAAGGTTTATTAAACTTATACATTATTATACAATGTACTTACCAATAAACTTTGCTACAAATATCACATTTATGTGTTACATTTTTTTGACACCATGGATGATGTTTTTTATGGGCAGAGCTTTTCCTAAATTTCATATGACAAATTTCGCATTCCGTATCATATGGACCTTAATTTTGAATTGAATAATATTAAGATTATAAAAAATAATGCACGCTTGTTTAATACCTTCGATAGTATGTTTCAATCTAATATCTCACCTCTGTGTCTTTCAGAAACATGATTCTTTAATATGCGCTTTGTTCTAAATTTTGCAGAACAATTAAAGCATTTATACCTATAAATATTTTTCACAGACTTGGATTTCTTCTTTTCATTAATATTCGTAATTTGTCCGACTGAATCATCAATTATATATTCGTTGTTTTCATCATTTATTCTTTTAATTTTAATCTTTAGCGAAGTAGGAGGTGGTTTTGCAGTATGATCTTTATTAGTAATATATTCTAATGAATTATATTTTGATTGAAAATCTAAGCCAAGCAAATTTGATTTATTTGAAAAATTAAAAGTGAAATTCGTATTAATTTCATTACCGTTGTGTTTTCTTAGATCTCCGTTTAAAGTTAAATTATCATGTCTTTTTTCAAATGTATTAACTTCAGAAAAATTATCTGATCCCTCGATATCCAATGTAACATCCGAATTATCGTCTGTAAGATTTAATTCTTCTTCGACTTCGTCTCCTGCTTGTTCTTCTTCCTCTTCGTCAACGTCATTGTCATCGTCATCCTCATCGTCGTCATCGTCGTCATCGTCGTCATCGTCGTCATCGTCGTCATCGTCAGCGTCCTCGTTTTCGTCTTCGTCTTCGTCTTCGTCTTCGTCTTCGTCTTCGTCTTCGTCTTTATTTTCGTCTTCATTTTCGTTTTTGTCTTCGTCTTTGTCTTCACAGATTTCTTCGGTAAATCCGCCAAATCGATTGAATTCATTTAAGCTTTCTATCAATGTACATGACACCGATGTAAATGACTTGTCTAAAAGCGAATTTTTTTTCGAGTACATTTCAATATGCTTTAACAGATTTAAGTCTAAATTAATTTCATTATATGCAAGTGATGGATCAAAAAGAATTTCATTGACAATGGACTCATTGGAGGTATTGAAATAATTCTCATATCCCAATTTTTTTGCATATGCTGATTTCAAGAACAAGTCTCTTTCTGCAATTTCATTGGGTGATAATATTGATTTTGAATTATTTATCTGTTTAACATTATAATAATCTAATTCATTTCCATTACAATCTATTTGCTCTTTTTTATCCTTTATAATTTGTTTTATTTTACATGTCTTGAGAATTTCAGAAAATTCCACTTCTATCGTCGGACTCAGAAGCTTATCCATATCAGATTCAATGATTCTTTCTCTTGGTTGTACGTATTCTAAATAATCGGCATTGGCGAATTCAGAATTTAACGTTATAATTGCACCAATTTCTTGTAGTACATCAGTTTTTGAATGAAACGAAGAACAATAATCAGATTGACACGATCTTCTTTTATACATCAAAACATCCTCATCGTTGTTAAAGTTAACATTGTTTTTCCCAAAATTGTCATCGCTCAAAATGCAATAATTTTCTCCAAAATTTTCATCATTCGAAGATGTCGATTCTCTCTTTGATAATTGCCAATGATTTTTACTTCTTTTTATCGTTGGTTTCTTACTTCCTTTTAGAATGCTATTCATTTTTAAATTGGCAAATGGATTTCTTTTCTGACATTGTAATTTTTTCCTTTGATTTTCCTTATTATAACGTGATTTCTTTTTTCGAGTTTTAATATTAGATACCATTGTCTTATTGAATATATCTTTATCTTCATTTAATAATTCAGTAAATGAATCATCCTTAATATTATATATTTGTTTTCTCTTATGCGTATGCTTGCTGCTAGAAACAATTCCTCTTTTCATCGATGTATCGTGTTCAAATCTATTTATTTCTTGTCTATTTAATTTAGCTAAATCGGATAAACCAGAATTATTCTGAGCGGCGGTTAAAAAGTATTGATAATCATTCTGAGTGCAAACAATATCATCCAGTAATGAACCATCTTTTCTTATATCATCGTTAATATCTTTAGAATGAATTAGACTACTTGAATTGTTAAAATGTTGATAATGTCCTGAGTCTTGAATGACAAAAATATCATCATTATCTAAAATTTGATCGACCAAATTTTGCAAAATATGCCTATCAGCACTTTCATTAGGGGCACAAACAATATTTTTACTTTGAATGCATTCCTCTACTAGATCCAAACATTCTATTTCATCTTCGCATGTGGTATACTGTGAAACCTCATTCTGCGGTTGATAACACATATTAGAATGGATTTCATAATCATTAAATTCATCGTCGTCTAGATGAGTAGTTAAATCGACCAGCGATCTTTTCTCTTTCTCTAGTTCACTATCCGCATCGATAATATAAATAATACTCTCCGGCTGATTAGAATCAGTTTTACCATTATCTTTATATTTCAATAAGCTGGCAGTGGAATTAGATTTTTCAAACTCCTTAAAAGTTTCATAAACTGTTCCTCCGGTGTCGCAAGCCAGCAAGCTTCTGCATTTGTAATATTTACAGTTGTCACCAATTTGAATATCCATATCTGTAAGCAGCTGACATTTAAAATTTGACACAAAAATTTGATATAAAAATAATTCAAGTCCGATGGTAGTAAGAAAAATTTGTTTTTTTAAAAACGAGTGCGTATTGCAAAAGAAAATGAAAAAATAAAGATGAAAAATTTAATTATATTAAATTTAATTCAAAATATTGCCGAATGTTTCCAATAATAATGATGGTGATGGTGATGGTGATGGTGATGGTGATGATGACAACGACGATTGTAATCATAACGATTACAACGACGACGATGACAACACCACCATCAACAACACCACCACCACCACCACCAACAACAACAACAACAACAACATCAACAACAACACAAGAATGACAATGACAATGACAACAACAATCACGACGGCAATAATAATAATGATTATGATGATTATGATGATGATGATGATGATGATGATGATGATGTTGATGATGATGATGATGATGATGGTGACAATGGCAACGATAGCGATAATGTGATTGTAAAAATAAAAGCTTAGCTTGTGCAAACTCACGTAATATATGTTTACGTCACAGGTACATCGCCGAGTCGCACACAATGTAACAATTCGTTACTAAAATTCGTAAATATAAACGGAAGCGCTCATGGATTCGAATTTGTCCACACATATAATCCGTTCTTCGTATCCGTTCACGAGCGTACACGACCAACCGAGCGAAACAAAAAATTCAAATGCTCTAGCTATATATGGGAGCGTGGAAGCACCTGTTGCAAACATTTAAATGGTAGAACGTTGACTGAGATCCCTGCCTCGGCTACGTGCACTTAACAGTCGATCGAGCCGAATATCAAATGGAACGATTTTCGAAAATCCAACGTGCCAGCTTATTGCATCCTGCAAACGTAACGTTTAATCAATCGCGCCGGTCAATTATTTACTATTCGCACCTTCCGACTGACCCCGCACGTAGCAGTAGACTTGCGCGGCGAGGGGCCATCTTAAAAAGACGCTAGCTGGCGAGCTTTCGTCTTTAAACGAAAGACAATCGCCGCGATGCGGACTTACCAGGCAGAGGAGCGACTAGTCGAAGAAAAGGTGAGTATCGCAGACGGAGGTGGTCGGTAAAGCGAGTAATGCCCCACGGACCTCGTTAACCCATCCTTTTAAGAAGTCGTCGACCTCAGTGACTGTGGACGAGGTTGCCCATTGGGGATAATATGCGGCTCGCTCTTGCGCGCGGAACCAACTGATTAATTTCTTCGGCCTATGCATATGTGGGAAAGAAATGTTTTCGCCTGTATAGTGCGCACAAAAACGCTCGTGCGTCAATGCGTGTGTAATGCGTCGTGTGCGTGCGGTGACTGTCGCGTTCGACAGCCGAACACACGAAATGTAAACACTTTTTCGAAGGAGTTCGAGGCCGATCGAATTACATATAAATACGAATACAAACGGCGAGTGCGAACACATTATATTTAAGAGTCGCATTATTTTCCATTCTCCTTTTTTTTCTCATACTGCGTTCTCATTATTCTGATTCATTGTATCGCAGCTTTTAGTAATGTTTCGAGCCCAAGGTACGACATCATCGTATACGCGTACCATATAATTCTTATCGGAATTTTCAGGAATCAGAAATACTTAATACTTCGGGCCCTTCGACTCTCTTATTCGAATACCGTTAAGATAAAATTATCGTAAAGATAATTTTGATCAACTGCTGAATAGAGGTTTAATAATTTACGCCATGATTAAAAAAAATTCGGTCGTAAGTAGCGAAAATAAAATAACAAGTCACTTAATTGCTGTTAAAGACTTCATAAATTTTTTATTAGCAACTTATCTATATTTAATTTGTAAATTAAAATTCATAATTATAAGCGAAATTTGTAATATTGTATAATACAGTGTGTAGAAATTTATAATACACAATACATAAATAGTAAATTGATGGTTAATTTCAAGAAATATACCGCTTTCCTTACTTTATAATAAAAATTTTTGAATAATAAGTAAGAGCGCGCGTGTATGCGTGTGTATGCGTGTGCATGCGTGTGTGTGCGTGTGTGTGTGTGTGTGTTAGTGAATAAGGGAGTACGTGTATTTGCACGTGCGCGTACGCGCATATTATATACGTATGTATACATAACAACAAAGATGAGATGAATTTAAATAAATCAAAATTTAAACAATAACTAAATGTTACCAGTCGTTACAATCGTCGGAATCATCGGCTGCTAACTTTGCAAACATTACATCATTTATTTTTCGTTTAGGATCACTTTTTATCTTAGTCGGA